TGGATGGATGGATTGTGATAAGAGTTGTACGAGCCCCCAATAAAATCATTTAAAAAAAAAAAGAAAAAGAAAGGGTGCCGGCATTAGGGAGGTTCAGCACCACTACTCTAGATTAAGGTAAGTTGAGGAGATAGATGATTTTGCTAAAGGATGTCCGAGTAGATCCGGATTCACAGGAACCCCATGTGACAGAGTGCCGCTGGCCCGTTGGGTTTTCTCAGCAGTAATCTTTATAGCAGCAGACCCCCGGGTCTCTCCCGTGCCAGCTCCGAGGCGGGCCAGAACCATGAGCAGGCTGGCTGGCAGCCCAGTGCTTCACCATTGTGCTATAAAAACTCCTCTCGAGGGACATAACGACCAGAGGCAAAGTGTGGCCCACATTTAGATCCTAATGCATATCAATCAAGAAAATTAACATGGACCGGGGACTAGACAATACAAAAATATCATTGTATATTACAAATAACTAAACACTATTTCTCTACACTAGCAATAAATAGACCAATAAAAATTAAGACAATCATTCAATTTATAATAGCATAAAAATACATAGGTATAAATTTAATAAAAGAAGTACAAGATGTATATACTAAAAACTACAAAATCGATGAAAAATAAGATTTAAATAAAGATATTCCATGTTCGTGAATCATACCATTTAACGTTGCTCATTAAGATGACCAAAACCAACACAAAACTGACTGTCCAATTGATTCTGACTCCATAGCGACCCTAGGAGAGTCGGAATGCCGACAGGATTTCCAAAGCATGAATCTTACAGAAACAGGCTGCCACAAACCATTCACCTGTCAGATGGCAGCTGACCACTTTAACCACTGAACCATCAAGAATGCCTTGAGATGACAATACTTCCCAAATTGTTCTATGGATTCAACACAATCCCTATCCAAATCTTAAAATTTAGATGGAAATGTAAGGGAATCTCCCAACAGTTAAGACAATCTCAAACAACAAAAGTGGACTTAACCTGCCTGTTCTAATGTACTGTGAAGTGGTAAGACCATTTAGGAATGGCGTTAAGGGCAGACACTGAGACCAATGGAACGGTAGTGAGAATTCAAAAACCCTTACATTTATGGTCAACTGATTTTCACACAGGGTCTCAAGATACTGAAATGCAGAAAGAAGAACTTTTTCGAAAACGGTGTTTGGGCAACTGGATAGCCATATGCAAAGAGGTGAGATGAAACTCTATAACATATGCAAAAGTTCACTCAAATCAGTTTTAAAAAAAGATAGCTCATTTTCCATAGATAAATAAGACTAGAAGCTTTTAAAAGGCTTAAGGAAGTGGGCTGGCAGAGACCTGGGAGAGCATGTGGTCAAGTTGCTCGGTGGGACCTAGGGGTGTGGGAAGGGACTTTCTCAGGAATAAACAGCAGACAGACAAGGCGGATGGACGTGAGCTAGAGAGAGGCTGGTAGAGGCCCTGTCTTCAGGAGTGTGTTCTTAACAAACCAACCAACCCAGCGAGAGGCGTAGGGGCTGAGGCAGCCTGGCCCTTACTTGAGTTTCAGCTCCCTGGTGAGCTCATTCTGGGTCTGCTCCAGCTCTTGGCGCTCCTTGATGTGCTCCTCTTGGAGGTCATGGATCTCGGCCTTCACGGCCTGCAGCTTGGAGAAGAGCTGCAACCGAGGGCAGGGGGGGGTGAGCAGGGCATCCAGCCAGAGAATAGCGCTCCCTCTCCCCAGTCCCCCAGAGTCTGCCTGGCCTCATTCCTTTGATACCTTTTTGAGTTTTTTGGTCTTGATGTCCACCTCTTGCTGCAATGAGCTGTATGTCTCCTTCAGTTCCAAGGTCTCCTCATCTCGACTTTCCATCTGTTGCTGGATCTCTCTTTCTCGACGTTTCTGAGTAACATCACAAAATTCATTAGTTTGTTCTACAGAGCAGGTCTGCGCCAAGATGAGGGCTCAGTAATCCAGGCCAGAGTCTCAGCTTTGAAGGAGGGTTGATATATGAGAGCGTTGCTCTGTAGACTAACTCACATCCCTCCGTCCCCACAAACAGCGAAAGCTTACCTGCTCTGCAATTTCCTGCCGTTTCTGCTCCAGGATTTTCTGCTGCTCATTCGTATGGTCCACTATATTTTTCCCTCCAACAAGTAGCTTACTCTCCATGGCCTGAGAGAGAAACAAAGTTGAATCCATCTTGAAAATGGTCTCTTTCAGAACCCATCTCATAGGGGAGCCCTGGAAGGTGGCAGGCTCAGATATCCCTCCTCTTACTCTCCCCACTCCTGGAGGTGGGCTGTCCCATTGGGAACACTGACAATATGGTTTCTCCATACACATGCGGGATCTTCAAAAAGTTCCTGGAAAGGTTTGATTACGGATGATCTTTGTTGCCCCCAGGCACTTAATTGGGGGTACCGGGTTTACTAAGTCACAGAACTAGAGCCAGGTGTCTTCAGGCCAAGGCTTCTAATGGAGTGGCAATCGGAGTGCCCATGGGCCTTGGCCAGCACGGCTAAAGGAGCTTTGTAACACTGCTTGGGCCCGGCAGAGGCCAAGGGGCATGTGGCTGAGCGGCTGAGGAGCAGAGCCGTGCCTGCAGGTGTGGCCGAGAACAGGCACGCTGAACTGGAAGAACTGTACCCTAAGCATTTCTGATTCCGAATGGTTAACTTCACTGGTAAATTGGGGGAGGGGGGGGTGCAAAAACTCATAATCTGTTCTGTAAACATTCACCTAAATCACAAAAAGCTTTAAAAAAATCTATTATTCTTTAATTCAATTTTCCACACACTTTGAAGTCGCCTCATACGCGAATTTCCACTCCCCTTTTTAAAAAATTTGGGGAGGGAGGACGGGATTTACAGGTAGAAATGATCGAGTTGGTTCTGCTGTGTACATTTTCAACAACAAAAGAACTGTCAATTCTGTTGTTAAAAAGAGAAATCATGGGGGGAGGTTTGTACAGAATACCAACCCCATTTAAAACACACACACCTACTGTGTGCTAAGTACTGCGGATGCAGTTGTGAAGGCTGTCACAGAGCTTACAGGCCTCTGAGGGACCAGACAAGCACAGACTGTATGCAGCCTATGGTGGCAGGTGCCACTGTGTGGGAGGAGCACACTGGAAGGAGGGGATTCAGACTTTAGGAGGAAGCCAGGCCACGGAGAGTGTTCTGTCAGAAGGGACATCTACACAGAGTTGAAAATCAAAACCAACGCACTAAGATAAAAAACCTTTTGTAGTGTAGGGCAGGAGAGAGTAGTGATACAGGAAGCAGGCAAAGCAAGCAGGGGTCTGTTTAAACCTCAAAGACTTTGTTAAACAAACCGAACCACTGCCATCAAGTGCACTGAGACTCACAGCCATGCCACAGGGCGGAACAGAACAGCTCCCGGGGCTCCCGAGACTGAGACACTTTACAAGGGAGGCTCCTTCTACCCAGAGATCCTCTGGGACCCACTGCCGTGTTATTTTTTAATTTTTAAAATCATTTTATTGGGGGCCCTTACAGCTCTTATCGCAATCCATACAGACATCCATTGTGTCAAGTGCATTTGTACATGTTCCCATCACCATTTTCATTCTACTTAAGCCCTTGCTATCAGCTCATTTCACACACACACACACACACACACACACCCCTCCCCGCCTCTTAGGAACCCTTGTTAATTTATAAAAAAATTGCTGTGTTCTTTATGCATTCAGATGGAGCTGTGAAAATCTCATGCTGCTGCAGCCGAATGGGAAGAATGGGCAGGTTGGATGACAGGAGACCAGACAAGAGATTGTTTAGGGGTCCAGGCTTGGTGGGGGGCGGGGCTGCAGGGAAGTAAAGTAGGTAAGTCCAAGAGACGCAGGTGAGACAGGATTCCGAAGCTGCTAAGGACTGAATGGATTGTGTCCTCCAAAATTGTGGGCTGTCAATTCTAACCACTACACTGTTGAAAAGGCGCCCTGGTGGAGCAGAGGGTGAAGTGCTGAGCTTCTACCTGCCAGATCAAGGGTGTGGATTGACCAGCTGGCCCCCGGGAGGAAGAAGAGGCTCTCTGCTCCTGTACCCGGACAGCCTTGGAAGCCCTAACTAAGAAGCAGTTCCACTCTGTCCCTCAGGGCCACTCAGAATCAGAATCAATGTGTCAGCAGTGGGTGAGGGTGAGGATGAGGGTTACCTGTGGATGTGATTCCATTTTCAAACGGGCTTTCTTGATTATGTTAATGAGGCCCGGTCTGTGTGGTTGTGTTTTAAACCAATCACTTCTGAGAGACAAGGGGCCCTGGTGGCGTCGTGGTTATTGCTTGGGCTGCTAACCTTAAGATCAGAAGTTTGAGATCGCCGGGCACTCCTCCGGAGAAAGATGGGGCTTTCTACCCCCTACAGTCTTGGAAGGTTACAGGGAGTTCTGCCCGTCCTCCAGGGTCACTAGGAGTCGGCATCGACTTACTGGCAGGGAAAAACTGAGGGCAGAGAGAGTAAAGTAGGCAGAGAAAAAGAGTCCTGGTGGAATAAGGTTTGCCAATGGTGAGGATGGTGTTTCAAACTAACCTACTTCCATACAGCTTCCAGGCAAGGAAAGCCTCTGGGCAAGTTGTACTACGTCACATGGGGCCCCCATGAGTCAGAATTGACTCAGTGGCGACTGACAACAACAGGCAGCACAGATGGCAGTAGACGATGTCGCACCACGTGCACGTGGCATCACTACGGAGCTGAGAGGGGCAAGAACTGGAATGGGACAAGGCTTTCTTGACTGAGGCGAGTGAAGAGATGGCCCTGGAAGTCTGAGGGTGATGCTGCAGCCAGGGTTGATCACAACTTAGAATTCTTTTCCTCCTCTCGGGTCCCCTCCCCTTACTCCACCAAGCTTCCTCCTCTGGGTTTACCTGTGGCCTCCCACCTGGAGCCAATGAGAGAGGACGCCTTCTCCTAGCAGGTCCCTGGAATTTATCAAGTTTGCCAAGTTGCGAGGAAATAAGTTGGCTGGTTCAAGCTACCACTTGTGGCATTTCTGTGACAGCCATGCTAGGTAACCGCACCAGAGACCTGTGGACTGACTGGGCCCTGGAGAGGCGCAGGGACAGCTGGCAGGGAGCACTCCCAGGGCTCTGGCTTCACAGCTGAGGATAAAGGAGCAGGCTCTGGGTAGCCATAAGCAGGAAGCAATGGGGTACGGGTGTTGGCACATAGATCGGGCTAGATAGGTAGCCTGCAGCATTTCAGGTCCCATATGTGAGTTACACCGGAAAAACACATGAGCCAACAGTTCCATGCCTCACTTTTAAGAAATGGAGAAACATTAACCCCAATCTTACTGCCATCTTCTGGTGGGTCCCTTCAGTCAGGTTCTTCTTCTCAAAATGAAGGGGCTGGTGGGCTGGAGCACGACACTGCACCCGTCTCCAGCTCTACAGTTCTTTGTTTCAGTATGTGACAGCATTCAGGGGTTCAGACAGACAGACAGACAGGTAAAGTCATCGCCCCATGGACTAAACACCCAGGTTCTTGAGAGCAGGAGTCTGGAGGGTTGAAGTGGCATGCGAAGGCACTCCACAAGCCCCTTCCTAGAAGTTACCCCCGATTTCCCCATCAGCTCGACTCTCAGGGGTTTTCGCCCTAGAAGGGTCTCTTAAGGCTTTAAGGCGCCTACTTCTACACTACAATAGTACCTAGAGCTCTGTGAAGGGCCACGGAGGCCACAGGTAAACCCAGAGGAGGAAGCTTGGTAGAGTAAGGGGAGGGGACCCGAGAGGAGGAAAAGAATTCTAAGTTGTGATCAACCCTGGCTGCGGCATCACCCTCAGACTTCCAGGGCCATCTCTTCACTCGCCTCAGTCAAGAAAGCCTGGTGGCGCCGAGTCCTGCCACCTGGGGGAACAGGACACTGCTGCGAAAGAAAGGCCCCCCAACAATGGGAGCCTCCGCACTCCAAATACTGCTCAGCCATGAGGGAAAATGAAGCCAACTCATTTTGGATGTATGAAATATAATGAATGAAATACATTAGCACATGGGGTTTTGGGGGGATGCTGTTTACAAGGAGCAGCATGAGGAAAATCCTCTGGGGTGACTCAAGAGCAGTCAGAACGATTCGCTGACGCTGCTGGAAGAAGCGTGAGCTCACACGGCCACATTAGAAAACCACGGAGGAAGCGGAAGACGCACGTACTCTAGAACCAAACGACGCCAGGCAAGAAACTGACACACACGTGGTGTCCAGGAGCCAAGGCCCTGAACGTGCAAAGCCCAAAATGCAAGCAACCAAAACTCTCAGGAGAATGGCAGAGCTTATCATGAAGAAACCACAGCCACCGGCCCAGTGTGGATGACTCCCATGAACTTAGTATTGAGAAACCAGAAGCAAGCTGCAGGGGTGGGAGTCCATGTATATACAGGGAGGGACCTTCCCACCTTTGCAAGCTTTGAAGCAGAGGTATTTACAAATATGCCAAAGCCCTAACAAAAGGCCAGGAAACCCCCAAGGCCAAACTTAGAGTAATGGGAACACAAAAGAAGGGCCATAAAGAGCTTCTAAGGGTTTAAGTGAGACTATTCTGGCACCTGGGGCAGGTACAAAGGGTGTTAGTTTTATTGTTGTTCTTTATATTTTCCACATATGTAACAATTACTCTTAGCATGAATTCACTATACGTTTTTGTTTTAATTTGGAAAAAACACAAAGTTTTCCCCGTTGTTTCAATTGCACAAATGGTTAGGGGAACACTGGCTATCCTGGAATTGCTGGAGGTGCAAAAGAGAGGGAGGACAGCATCATATGCATTTTGGGAGGGAGGAGGCAACAAACAAAAGGCACAGAAGGCAGGGTGTGGTTTGGTACCTTGATTTTGGCACCCAGCATCTCGGCAGCATCCTTTTCCCGCCGCAGGTCCTCCATCTTCTTCTCCTTCTCCTTCAGCAGCCTCATCTTCTCCTCCGCAACCAAGCTGTGATCCTCTACAATGGCCCGCTTCTCAATCTCCAGTTTTTCTTGCTGTTCCCGCCAATAATCATCCTTATCATCCCCTTCCTCCTCACCCTCTTCGCCCTCCTCCTCCTCCTCTTCCCCACCCCCACCACTGCCACCACCTTCCCTCCGCTTCTCCCGCCTCTTCTTTCGGCCAATAGATCGTTTTTCCAGCTGGGCCTTGAGCCGAGCGATTTCTTCCTGAAATTCTCGAAGAAGGGCGTCCTTAGGGTCCTCGTTGACCCTGGGTTTGTTCTTAATGTTTTTGGCACGATTGGCATACCGGAGAGTGGTCAGCGTCTCTTCGACGTTGTAAGAGGCAGGTCCCACGTTGGCTACCATCACAGTCTTAGCGTTGCCACCAAGGGAATCTTGGAGCAGCCTGGTGAGCTTTGAGTCCCGGTATGGAATGTGTGTGCTCTTGCCATCCACCAGGGCCGAGATGACATTCCCCAGGGCGGAAAGGGAGAGGTTGATCTTGGTAGCTTCCTTCAGTCGTTCCCCTTGAGCACCGGTCTTGGCTTGCCGCTCACTGCCAGCGAGATCCACAAGGTTCAGCTTCCCCACCCGGATGTGGTTTTCACCGTCAAGGCCCACCTCGCTGCATTCAATCGTGATAACAAAAATGGCGTGAGAGCGGGAACTGTGCTCGTTCATGTTGGTGGCACCGACTGAACGGTTCTGGTTCCCCACATTCATCACGTGCTCGATCTCCTTCACACTCTTGGTGACAAAGGAGGACAGGTCTTTCACGTACACGCCCGTGTCAGGCCTCTCCTTGAGCTCAAGCCTCTTAGTCTGATCCTTGGAGAGCAGGTCTCGGATCTCCTCCTGGTAGATCTCTAAATAGGAAGCCCTGACCAGGTACTGTTGGTTCTGGGATCGAGAAATGTGGGTGAAGATGTGGTCAAACGAGTTAGGGATGACCCCTCTTTTTTCAGGGTCGCCACGCACTCCTTCCATCGTGTAGGTTTTCCCCGTCCCTGTTTGTCCGTAGGCAAAGATGGTCCCATTGAAACCCTGCAGGACGGAGTCCACGAGAGGTCGGAACGTCTCATCGTAGAGTTCAAACTGCTTGGCGTTGCAGTCATAGACTGCATCAAAGGTGAAGGTCTTGGGCATTTCATGGGCCACACCTCTGGGGTTCTTCACAGACACCTGTCCCAGCTTCACATCCACATCCACCACCTTGTCGTAGGCAGCGGCCTTCTCTCTGCCATTCATGGGCCGACAGCGAACCACCACCCTGACGGACTCGGAGCTTTTTAACTTCGACATGGTGGGCTGGAGCGGGCCGGTCCTGGAGCCCCGAATCCAGAGGGTCTCACGATGCTAAGGTCCTACGAAAGAGCAGAGGTAGGTAAGTACAGGACAACTGTCACTGGGGCTGCAGTCAGGAAGATACAGTTGTCATTAGTCTGCATGGCAGCAGTTGAGACAAGCAAGTCACCTTCATCTCACTAACCTCCTGAGAGCTGTATGTAATAGCTTGACCACACACTGTCAGTTCCTTGTGGGTTCACCACCAGAAGCAGGAAGAAGAAAGAAACTCTTCACCAATACTGTTAACTCCCCTGCCCTCCCTTTAGCCAATCGCTTTTCTTACACTACAGGCTAAAGCAGTGGAAATCTTGCAGAGACTAGGGATCTCATGCCGTCTTGAACTTTACATATATACAGACCCGTAAGCCCAGCGACTATATTTCTAAGACTTCATCCTACAGACACATCTTTTAAAAAAAAATCATTTTATTGGGGGCTCTTATAACTTTTCTAACAATCCATACATCCATTGTGTCAAGCACATTTGTACATATGTTGCCAATATCCTTTTCGAAACATTTTCTTTCTTTCTACTTGAGCCCTCGGTATCAGCTCCTCATTGTTCTCCTCCCACCCTCATGAACCCTTGATAAGTTATACATTATTATTTTCCTATCTTACACCATCCTCTGTCTCCCTTCATCCATGTTTCTGTTGTTCATCACTTGGGGGGAGGGGGGTAATACGTCAATCATTGCAATCGGTTCCTCTTTTCTACTTCCACCTTCCCAAACCCTCATGGTATCGGTACTTCCATTATTGTTCCTAAGAGGTTTATCTGTTTTGGATTCCGTGTGTCGAGAGCTCTTATCTGTACCAGTGTACATCCTCTGGTCTAGCCAGATTTGTAAGGTAGAACTGGGATCATCAGATTTGTAAGGTAGAACTCGGGGTGAGGGAAGAAGGCATTAAAGAACTAGAGGAATGTTGTATGTTTCGTTGGTGCTATACTGCATCCTGGCTGGCTCATCCTTTCCTGTGGCCCTTCTGTGAGGGTATGTCCAGCTGTCTACAGATGGGCTTTGGGTCTCCTCTCCAACTCCCCTCATTCACATCAATATGACTGTTTTGGGTCTTCTGATGCCTGATACCTAATCCCATCAACACCTCATGATCACACAGGCTGGTGTGCTTCTTCCATGTGGGCTTTGTTGTTTCTCAGCTAGATGACCGCTTCTTTAACTTTAAGCCTTTTTTTTTTTTAAATCATTTTATTGGGGACTCGTACAACTCTCGTCACAAACTGTACATCCATCCATTGTGTAAAGCACATTTGTGTATTTGTTGCCATTATCATTCTCAAAACATTTTTTTTTCTACTTGAGTCCTTGGTCTCAGTTCATCTTTCCCCCTCTCCCTCATGAACCCTTGATAATTTATAAATTATTATGATTGTTTCATGTGTTACACTGACCAATGTCTCCTTTCACCCACTTTTCTGTTGTCTGCCCCCCAGGGAGGGGGTAATATGTAGATCATTGTGATCACTACTCTCATTATTGGTTCTGAGGGGTTTACCTGTCCTGGATTATCTGTACCAGTGTACAAGCTCTGGTCTAGCCGGATTTGTAAGGTAAAATTGGGGTCATGATAGTGGAGGGGAGGAAGCATTAAACAACTAGAGTAAAGTTATATGTTTCATCGGTGCTATACTGCACGCTGAATGGCTCGTCTCTTCCTTGTGACCCTTCTATAAGGGGATGTACAATTGTCTACAGCTGGGCTTTGGGTCTCCACTTCCCACTTCCCCTCAATTCACACTGGTATGATTTTTTGTTCTGGGTCTTTGATGCCTGATACCTGATTCTGTCGACACCTCGTGATCACACAGGCTGGTGTGCTTCTTCCATGTGGGCTTTGTTGCTTCTCAGCTAGACAACCGCTTGTTTACATTCAAGCCTTTAAGACCTCAGACGCTATATCTTTTGATAGCTGGGCACCATCAGTTTTCTTCACCACATTTGCTTATGCACCCACCCATTTGAGACACATATCTTGTACCAAGATGTGCACAAGGATATTTGTTGTAAATATCCTTTGTGGTAGCCTTCAGCTGTGGACAAAATCCCAATTTCCAACAAGAGGAGACTGATTAAACACCAGGGTGCTTCAAAAAGTTCATGGGAAAATTCCACTCTTTTCATTAATTGTCCATGAACTTTTGGAAGCATCCTTGTAACATTTATCTAAAGAGAGTCTGCTGGCTTCTGTAAAGATTTACAATCTCAGAAACCCTAAGGAGCAGTTCTTCTCTGTCCTGCAGAGTTGCGATGAGTAGGTATCAACTTAATGGCAGTGAGTTTGGGTTTTTAGGATAATGTGATCTAAACGTAATTTTAAAACCAAGATACACTGTTAAGTGGATAAAAAAATAGGTCAAGAACAATTTGCAAAAAGGATATATGCATGTTATATACTTGATATGCATACAGTTTTATAACAAGGATGCATGTGAAAGTGGGAAGAGAGGCAGCCTTATGGCACAGAGACTCAGTCTAGAAAGAGCGCGAGAGGCTGACTTTTCACCGTGTACTCACTCTCTTTGGACTGTGTAAATTTCCTATCTTGTGCCAATCAAATCTAAAATTATCATCAAATGGGTGGGGAGGTGGAAGGGGATAAAGGAGAATGTTTCTAAACTGACTGTGACAGCAAGTGTCAATACTGCTGGATGTGACTAAACTATGGAATGTTAGGAGATCTATCTGTAAGAGCTCCCAATAAAACAATCGTTAAACACTTGCTGATGCAAAGTGCCTGGTGTCCAAACAAATGAGGGTCTGGTGTAGGGCACTACAAAGAAATGCACTGACAGCATTTGCTTAGGCAATACGTTTAATAGAGAGATGAATACAAATAAGAAAACAAGTGTTAAAGATTCAAAAAGTAAAAATAGAAATCAAATTTCATTTAGAGCTCAGGTTCACATACTTATCTGGCCTATCACTCTATTTTTAGGAAAAAAATAAATTACTCAGCACATTCTCTGGCAATTAAAAACTGTTGTGCCATAGCCCATTCTCCAGGATAGTGTAGGTGTCTGCTTTTGCAGCCCCCGTAGATTGTTCCAGCACCCCAGGGGTGGTATTGTCCACTTTAGAAAACAAGGCTGTGGACTGACGAATATATATATAGTTACCATTTACTAAACTCATGGAAACATGAAAAGCTACTTTATACATTTCTTCCAGTTGTTCGAAATCAGCTAACAACAACACACGAACAACCACCACAACTAGTTGTGACCGCAGCAGTCTCGAAGGCAGAACCAGAAGACCCTTTATCCACTTAGATGACTGAGACGAGGAAGTGCTCAGAAAGGCGGATGTACTTTGTGAACTAGTATAACCCAAACGAACTGCCAACAAATTGATTCCTACTCATAAGGACCCTTGATCAGGTTTCCCAGGGGCAAATCTTTTCAGAAGCAAACAGCCTCATCTTTCCCCTGCAGGGCGGCTCAAGGGTTTGAACTACTGACCTTGCAGTTAGTAGTCCAAGTAATCACTGACCTTAGTGGTTACTATCTGGGCTCCTTTACACTGATCAAAGCAAGATTAAAATTAATAGCAAATTCATCCAAAACTCATCAAAGGGTCATTTCAGAGATCACAGGTGAGCCCTAATTTGAAGCATTAAACACCCTAAGTATAATATTTTCTACGGTTCAGTTTGTAATCTTCCTAACACAAAAAACCACTGGTGAAATCGAGATCCAAATATTTAACTGATGCTCAATAAGAAGTGAACCTCAAGGCATTTCTAGAAATCTGTGCAGAAACAGCCCTGGAGTTCATTCGTCATTGCCTTCTAGACACTATTTGCATTTTGCCAGAGGAGACAAACATGTCAGAATGGCAAGGTTTGGTTTGTTTTTTTACAGCTGAATCTTTTCATTTCAGGGTGAAATATAGCAGCGGCCAATCCTCATGCCCATCTCCCCCCTTCCTTTTCCATGGAGGCTTGCTGGAGAAAGCTGGCCAAAGGGCAAAACAACACCCCAACCCCTAAACCTCCTTCCGGGAGGCCTCTGCTGCGGTGCAAAGCTCGGTCAAGCAAGACTCTGCATGTGAAGGAGTGAGGAGAAACGGGAGGGGAGGACAGGTCTGTGGAAAGTTGACTGGTGCGTCTGTCCTCCAATGTCCCTGAGGAGGCCCGGCTGTCCAACTTCAGCCTGTCAAAATAGTGGGGCCCCAGGTCGGTTTTTAAAGGTCTGCAGCCACCTGACCTGACCTTGATGCTCAACTACTTTTGTTACAGCCCACGTATGTTTTTGAGCTCTTCAGAACAACACAAACAAAGGCATGGCAATGACCTACATTCATCTTCAAAGTCCTTTAAAAGAATGTGATTCCCAATGCGTGAGTCTGCCCAATTAGATCTTCTCGACTCTGCACATTTCTTTCAGGAACTCGCCAAGCTTAGCTGAACTTGTCATGTATTACTGATGGATTATTTCAGGAAAATGGTCTAATATTTAATTTCCTGCCACCCGGGGATTAAAATCTTGCTCTAGGACCTCTTCAAAAGATAGGGTTTCCTTAGAAGGGCACCCTGATAGTCTTTCTTTACTTTATTACATTCCTTCTTCTTTTAGCGGGTCTAACTGCAGAGTGATAAATCTTCAAAGGGACTCATGTCATTGCCAGAACCACAGGTCAGCAACTCATCCCCTTCTTCCTGTAGACGGTTCTGCTGGAGCCTGGCATTCTGATGGGAACACCCCCCTCAGACAGAACCGTGACGTGCCCCCTGCAGCCCCCAACTCACAGGGGCACCCGCTTCCACATCCTTCTCCACATCTTTTGTGCTTGGATGCAAGCACCCACACCTTAGCTAATAATTGTAGATATAGCCTTGCCTCCAATTCTAGAACCAGGTGTGACTGGATTCTAATAGCTGTTGTCTTCCTATGGATTCTAGGACAAAGGGCGAAAAACTGTCAGATTCTACCTGAAGCATTCTGTGTGGCCCACCAGTGTTTTAAAA